CTGATTATTATTACCCTGGATAACCCAAGCTGCCTGTATTGCGCTAGAAGGTTAATAGTCACATGACTTATCTCACCGGGTAGCCAGTTTCTGCTGTACACAGTTTCGGCAATTTTGAACAAACACACTTACCTCAGGTGAGGGAACATGTTAGTATGTGATATGTTAGTATGTTCAGCGTAGTGTAGACCTCATGTTAGCATATGATATGTTAGTATGTTCAGCGTAGTGTTGATCACATGTTAGTATATGATATGTTAGTATGTTCAGCGAAGTGTAGACCACATGTTAGTATATGATATGTTAGTAGGTTCAGCGTAGTGTATATCACATGTTAGTATATGATATGTTAGTATGTTCAGCGTAGTGTAGATCACATGTTAGTATATGATATGTTAGTAGGTTCAGCGTAGTGTAGACCACATGTTAGTATATGATATGTTAGTATGTTCAGCGTAGTGTAGATCACATGTTAGTATATGATATGTTAGTATGTTCAGCGTAGTGTAGATCATATGTTAGTATATGATATGTTAGTATGTTCCCCGTAGTGTAGATCACATGTTAGTATATGATATGTTAGTATGTTCAGCGTAGTGTAGTCCACTTGTTAGTATATGATATGTTAGTATGTTCAGCGTAGTGTAGATCATGTGTCAGTAATGTGTGAATGATATGTAGGTATAGTGCATACATGTATATGAAGCACTGTGTATGGGATATATACATATTATACAGTGTAAACAGTCATAGTAAACAATTACATTGATACATTACAACAATGTGACAAAAAATATAAAGAGAAAATATATTAAGAATACCATCGATCGGGTCCATCGATATCCCTTTATGGACTCTAAAACGAATGTAATTTACATTTTCCGAAAAGTTCACAATGAAAATGCAAAATTGTGTCAGTTTGACAACTCAGCCCTCAGAAAAATAATATAAGGCCTGTTCATGAAAGTTCTTTCCTCGTTGCATGATCTTGTCTCTTTGTTTGGGGGCTTATATATGTGTGGTATGTATTTGTCAACTGACTTCAATAATGTGCTTGAATAATTCTGTCAACTGTTAACCTTGTTTTAACGACGAACACTTGTTTTGAGTGCAGGTCTTGCCTCCATGACAACTGGATACCCACACACTGTTACACGTGTTGGCGACGATGTTAACATAACCATGAACCCAGCGAATGTCAGCTTCCTGTATACCGTATGGGTAAATGGTTGGGTAGCTGTGAGACTGTTAATGGTCCAGCCTAAATCACACCGTGTAGTGGTACTCAACAGTAGTCACACCGGCTACAGGACCAGGTTCAGATACACCGGCGAGGGCTCGCCATCACAGACCGGACAGCTGAGGTTTACCATCTACAATGTTACTGTACAGGATGCTGGTACTTACTACTGTCAAAGAGCCAATGGACAGACAGTTACTGGATGTAGACAGGTCCTCGTTGTAGCACGTGAGTAGAATATGGGATTAACAGAATATTATTTGAAGAATAAAGTTGGACTGTCATAATGTATCCCCAATATAAATAAATAGCTGTTCAATCTTGGATTGCTATTGATAACTTTAGGTGAGGTGAAATTGGGGCTTAGATTATTGTATATATGGATCCACGTATGTGTGAGTGCGTTTTGTGTGTGTGTGTGTGTGTGTGTGTGTGTGTGTGTGTGTGTGTGTATATGTGTATGTGTGTGTTCTATGCATGTGTGTGTTGTAAGCATGTGTGTCTGTTGTATGCATGTGTGTGTTGTATGTATGTGTGTGTTTTGTATGCATGTGTGAGTTGTATGCATGTGTGTGTTGTATGTATGTGTGTGTGTTGTAAGCATGTGTGTGTTGCATGCATGTGTGTGTTGTATGCATGTGTGTGTGCATGTATGTATGTATGTGTGTGCGTGTTGTATGCATGTGTGTGTCTTGTATGCATGTGCGTAGATGAACTATGCTTGTTCACCGTCAAAGAAGCAGTGTCGCAGTTTAACATGGATGAGTGTATCCGAGTCGATCAGTCTTGCATCTTTTAACCCAATTTGTAATAACGCACCTGGTAGTGACACCGTCGACCCTCCTCTCTCCGGAAAATACATTTAACTCGTTTCAGTAGAGGCAGCCAGTAGTTGTGTGGTAACTATCATATTTAATCAACAAAACAGTTAGGAGTATTAGGATCCAGCCAACATGTATTCCCTGCTGTAACTGTGGAACACTGACTGTGGAACACTGAGTGAGTGAGTGAGTGAATGAGTGATTATTTTAGCAATTTTCCAGCAATATCATGACAGGTGACATCAGAAATGGGCTTCACTCACTGTTCCCATGTGGGGAATCAAACCCTGGTCTTCCACGTGACGAGTGAATACACTAACTATTTAACATTTGATAGATAATAATGATCAAAAGTATATAAATACAAGTATGAAAGCATTTAGTAACATCTTGTTCAATGGCACTCGTGTTACGGTCTGAGCACATTTGTTATATTTGTTCACAGAGAAGCCTACCACGCCTACTATCACCGGACTTGCCTCACCTGTATCAGGTGAGAATGTCACCCTGACATGCTCCTCCTCCTCCCGGTGTCTGCCCCCGGACCATCCCCCACTGACCATGACCTACATCTGGAGGAGGAACAGGACTCTGCTAGAATCTGGTGATGAGTCTCCTACAGGTGGAGATGACCTGACAATAACCCACATCAGCAGAGAGAACCAGGGAGACATCTACAGCTGCCAGGCCGTGGAGGAGGGCCTGAAGTCTAACTGGAGTCACGGACATGTACTGGATGTTCTCTGTGAGTAAGAACTTACTTTGTTTACGGTATAGGAACCTCGTGTATCTTATCTTTGTAACTGTGCTTCTGAGTGATAGTTTTGTCACAACGTTCTACTGTGAACTACTGTGAACTACTGTGTTCTGTGTATACAAAACAGAAATGATTATTGTGAAAGTTTTGATAAGATATATAAGCAGGTCTGATTTAATGATCTATGAGTTAAATAGGCAATCGAAAATGCTGATAGTTTCCCTGCATTGTAAGCTCACCTGGATATGTTGTCAAGAGTTGTACATGTTATATCTGGGGTTAGGCGTCTGACTTTGTGTGCAAACTATTAGGTACCCGACTCTGAGGATGTGGGTTCGAATCCCGGATTGGACTCAACCCAAAAGTACTAGAATTTGTACTTTACTAAGAAAGTGTAATCCCAAATATAACATGTTACATGGCCACTTCTAAATTGTATTGTGTAGTCATAAGAGTTGTACATGTCAACAGAGTGCGTGAGTGACTTACAACGGTGTTCCAGTTGTAGTCTGTACTTATTTTGTGAGGAAAGCATAAATTGATATTGGTCTGAGACATTTACCATTTTGTGAATCCCAAGAACACAGGCCAAGCCAAGCGGCATGTCTTCATTCATCACTTTGGTGTAAGTTCGTGTTGGTTGTGGTGTGTTGGGGAGTGGAGGAGGGATTGAAACTTACATTGCATTCAAAAGATTCATATATTCATCGTACCTTTTACGTCCTTGCAGACAAGAACAGTAACTGCTGCCACCACAACTGCCACAGCAGTGAGCATAATGGAGTAGACAGCTACGATGGGGACGATGTCGTCGACGTTGTCATCATCTTCTGATATAACACCCAGTTAACACATATGTAATTAGTATGGTAATTCATATGAGAACACAGAAACGTATTTGAATGATAAGAAATGTTCTGTTAATATTCCTTGTTCGTTTTAATGCATATATTGGTTTTATAACATAAGGAGGAAAAAGAGGAAGTTCTGGGGTTTTTTTGTGTCTTTTTTGAATGAAACATCGATCCTTTTCATAAGCTAACAGAGTCCTGTCTACATCGTATTTGAAACATAAAAGATTCGTCGTTAATATTCCTTATTCCTTTCAGTGCATAGATATTGGGTTTTAGGTCATTAGGAGGAAATACTATTTGTGTCTAGTGTTTCAAAGAAACTACGATTCTTTATACGCTACTGGAACCCTGTCTACATCGCATAACGCAACAAAGGAAGCAAGCAACGAAACATGGAAGAATCATTCTTGATGTATGACGGGAAGTATGACCGTTACAGCTTTCCAGGCTAGAGGATCTGTTTCCTCAACATGGCATATCACCGAATCCTGGTTATGTACATGGAAATTAAGATGTGTCATAAGAATTATATATATAATATAAACGAATTTGACTTAGGAAATGTTTATTTACAGTATATTAACTATTCTATGATGGGTATTTTATATCATATAATCGGTATTTTTCCCTTTCCTTGAAATATTACACCGTAACCTTGACGATTTGACTTATATCCAATGTGTATGGGTTTTAGACACGACTCCTATTCCAGGCTTCTGGGCTTCAGACGGGAGATAGTTCGAGCTACATTCAATCGACATATCAGTACCATACACTCACAGTTCGAGTTTCACAGCCGTTACACATCATGCTTGTAGCTAACCTTTAGACACCAACCTTCTATTTCCTGGTAGCTCCCATCGTTTTCGTCTTCCCTGTGATACGAAACCAAGCTGATAAAAATGAGTATTAAACTTGAGTAAAATGAAAGGAAGTAATAAAGCTGTGACACACTCTCAATTTACATCGCTCCGAATCGTGCATAGTTTTGCTCTGATAGCTATGTCGGTTTGTTTGTTATTTGACGCCGCACTCAGCAATATTCCATCTACAATTCCAACGAGAGCTGACCGTATATGGCGGCGGTCTGTAAATAATCGAGTCTGGACCAGACAATCCGGTGCTCAACAGCATAAGCATCGATCTACGCAATTGGGATACGATGATATGAGTCAACCAAGTCAGCGAGCCTGACCACCGTATCCCGTTTGTCAACTTTTACGACAACCATGGGTTCCTGAGGATCAATTCTATATCAGATCTTCAGCTATGTATCACTGTGTGAGATGAAATATTTATTCATCCTACTTGAAGATTGATGAAGATACTCACCGCTGGTGAACGTATCCTCTCTCTGAAAGTGACAATGTTCAGCAGTTAATTATGCATACAAACTGCAAAGTTAATCACAGATGCCTGTATTATTGTGCACCGATCACATATCCGTACATGTTTGAATATAGTGCGCTGATCTAGCACCGTGGACGCGATATATGGACAGCATCCGATACAAGTTTCAAGAGAAGGCCAGTCAGTGAGTGAGTGAGTGAGTGAGTGAGTTGGGTTTTACGCGACTTTTAGCAATGTTACAGCAATATCACGGCAGGGGACACAAGAAATGGGCCTGACACATTGATCCCATGTCAGGAATCGAACCCGGGCCTTCGGCTTTAACGCTTTAACCACTGGGCTACACCAACGCCCAAGGTCACTCGGAGCTAATAGTTATGATAGGCCTTTAGCTTTTCTAAGTTGACAGCTAAAATTCCAAGACTGTTTTTAGACATGGTACATAACATTGCCCATTTAATGATTCTCTATGACCTGTTTATCTGAACTAATTCATGTGACGTTTAAGGGTCTACGATGACGTACAACACCAACCTTCTATCTCCTGGTAGCCCCCGTCTGTTTCTGCGTCAAGGATGTATGTGACAACGCTGGGGGGAAAGACATGTAGAAAGTGTTTGGAATCAAGGAAAATTTATAAAAACTGTCCGTTTTCCTCAGAGTGTTGCAAATCGAAATGATATGAATGAACCACTGAGAAAATCAGTAAAGACACCAGATGTTCACGGAAACACAGGTAGTTCACGCCCTTGAAACATTTGCCTGGAAGAGTAATTACTATCCAGCAGCTCATTGACTGTGCGCCATTGATTTAGATTATGCTCGATATCACACAGCTATTGATTAGTGATATAGCCAGTCAAATTGTGTTGGTGATGCACTGTTTACCCAATAGCCTTCAAGGGTAGCAGGTACTGCCAACTGTTTACCCAACAGCCTTGAAGGATAGCAGATACTGCCAACTGTTTACCCAATAACCTTGAAGGATAGCAGATACTGCCAACTGTTTACCCAACAGCCTTGAAGGATAGCAGATACTGCCAACTGTTTACCCAATAGCCTTGAAGGATTGCAGATACTGCCAACTGTTTACCCAATAGCCTTGAAGGATAGCAGATACAGCCAACTGTTTACCCAATAGCCTTGAAGGATAGCACATACTGCCAACTGTTTACCCAATAGCCTTGAAGGATAGCAGATACTGCCAAATGTTTACCCAATAACCTTGAAGGATTGGACATTTTGCCAACTGTTTACCCAATAGCCTTGAAGGATAGCAGATACTGCCAACTGTTTACCCAATAGCCTTGAAGGATAGCAGATACTGCCAACTGTTTACCCAATAGCCTTGAAGGATAGCAGATACAGCCAACTGTTTACCCAATAGTCTTGAAGGATAGCAGATACAGCCAACTGTTTACCCAATAGCCTTGAAGGATAGCACATACTGCCAACTGTTTACCCAACAGCCTTGAAGGATAGCAGATACTGCCAACTGTTTACCCAATAGCCTTGAAGGATAGCAGATACAGCCAACTGTTTACCCAATAGCCTTGAAGGATAGCACATACTGCCAACTGTTTACCCAACAGCCTTGAAGGATTGCAGATACTGCCAACTGTTTACCCAATAGCCTTGAAGGATAGCAGATACAGCCAACTGTATACCCAATAGCCTTGAAGGATAGCACATACTGCCAACTGTTTACCCAACAGCCTTGAAGGATAGCAGATACTGCCAAATGTTTACCCAATAGCCTTGAAGAATAGCAGATACTGCCAACTGTTTACCCAATAGCCTTGAAGGATAGCACATACTGTCAACTGTTTACCCAATAGCCTTGAAGGATTGAAGATACTGCCAACTGTTTACCCAATAGCCTTGAAGGATAGCAGATACTGCCAACTGTTTACCCAACAGCCTTGAAGGATAGCAGATACTGCCAACTGTTTACCCAATAGCCTTGAAGGATTGCAGATACTGCCAACTGTTTACCCAATAGCCTTGAAGGATTGGACATTTTGCCAACTGTTTACCCAATAGCCTTGAAGGATAGCAGATACTGCCAACTGTTTACCCAATAGCCTTGAAGAATAGCACATACTGCCAACTGTTTACCCAACAGCCTTGAAGGATAGCAGATACTGCCAACTGTTTACCCAATAGCCTTGAAGGATAGGACATACTGCCAACTGTTTACCCAATAGTCTTGAAGGATAGCAGATACTGCCAACTGTTTACCCAATAGCCTTGAAGGATAGCAGATACTGCCAACTGTTTACCCAACAGCCTTGAAGGATTGCAGATACTGTCAACTGTTTACCCAATAGCCTTGAAGGATAGGACATACTGCCAACTGTTTACCCAATAGTCTTGAAGGATAGCAGATACTGCCAACTGTTTACCCAATAGCCTTGAAGGATAGCAGATACTGCCAACTGTTTACCCAACAGCCTTGAAGGATTGCAGATACTGCCAACTGTATACCCAATAGCCTTGAAGGATAGCAGATACTGCCAACTGTTTACCTAACAGCTATGAAGGATAGCAAATACTGCCAACTATTTATCCAACAGCCTTGAAAAAGAGCAGATACTGCTATGTTTAAATTTACCCATTTGCCTTACCCACTGGATAGCAGATACTCACCGACTATGAATGTCTCCCCTTCCTGAAAGATATAATTATGTAGATGCAAAATGTTAGATGAAATATATATGATAAACGAATTGCTCGTGTACTTGCATACCTTTGAAGTAGACATAAATAACTTGAAGTTTGTAGAACGATATGTGACTGTCAGCTAAGTAACACTGGTGTCCTGAGGTCATTGTTCGGATGGTAAGACTAGTGGTTAAAGTGTCTCCCGCTGGGATATTGCTGGGATATTGCTAAAAGCGACGTCAACATCCTCACTCACTCATTGAAAGCTAAAGGGAATCAAATATGTAAATGTGTGCACACTATTCATATCTCAAATACCGTTCAAGCGTCTTGACGGTTATAAAAGAGAAATTATTCATATTTCTCAGGCTGTTCCAGTATCTTTAGGGTTATATAATAGAAATGATTCATATTTCTCAGGTATCCAAGGGACCAAGAAATTTAGTTCGCTATATCCGTTGTTCGTTATTTACATTTGACCGCCATCTTGGATTGTAGAGATGTAGACATTCAAAGACATTACCTATATCATGTTGATAAATATGAAGTTTATTTTTATTTGTTGAATGGGTTAAGCACGATATGTTTGTTTTGTTAATTAATTAATGACCATCAAACAATGTTGATTCACCGCCAACAAGATTGATGTATACTGTAACGCTAAGTGGCTGAGCTGACACTGAGTGAGTTCGCTAATCACGTCGTTAATTAGGTCTTGGGGGTCGTAAATCAGTTCGCTATAGCCGTTAATTCGCTACTCACGAGTTCGTTATTCACGTATAATTTTAATGATATTATAAAGGACTGTTGACGGGACTTTTAAATTTGTTCGCTATATCCGTTTGTACGCTATATCCGTGTTCGCTATATCCATGTTCTACTGTATGTAAATGTGTGCACACTATTGATTCATATCTCAAATGCCGTTCAAGCGTCTTGACGGTTATAAAAGAGAAATTATTCATATTTCTCAGGCTATTCCAGCATCTATAGATTATATAAAAGAAATGATTCATATTTCTCAGGCTGTTCAAGTGCATCTTGACGGTTATATAAGAGAAGTGAAACGAGTCTATGTTGGACTGAAACACACACAGAAAAGGACATGTCAAGTAGATACCACCACAGTTTTAAGTAATTTACATCTAACTTCTCATGTAAGCTTATGACATAGATATTCAGTTTTCACTCTATTTATGGGTGTGAAAGGTTTTGCATATGATCTCAATCATAATGTCTCTTAAGGGTATAAACTCTTCACACCGATCACCCGGGTTCGATTCCCCACATGGGTACAATGTCTGAAGCCCATTTCGGGTGTCCCCCGTCGTGATATTGCTCATATTCACTCACTATAAATTCTTCCTTAAAGGCTGGTCTCAGATTCAATTTCCCCACATTTACTTCCTGAATGAATACTAATAGACACCATCAAGGACATCTTTACAGTTTTAACAAAATCCACCACATGGACGTGAACAATAAGACATAGGGAAGATCTATTAGTAGTATAAATAAGACAAAATGATCATTTGAAAATGTATAACATGTCAATATGACAGTGAAATGCTTGCCAGATAACGTTTTACTCAGTAACAGGGTGAAAATGGACATCAGATGCTACATACCAAAGTATTATTTATGTTTTACAGTTATAGTAAAGACATTACATCTAAAAACATATACTGAGTCAAAAACGAAACTTCACATTCTTTCTTCAGGGCACTATAAAAGAACAAGAGATGGTAAGATGGTTAAATTGGTATTATTTCATTGCTGAGATCTGTGTGATGTACTCGATACACTGACAGTGCCATAATCTGTTCCATTAGGCTACACCGCCGTTCCAAAACATGGGTATACAGAATGTCAAGTCACAAGCATAAAAATGCGAAATTTCTCAGTTCAATATCGTGTATGGCTGCCCCGCGCATTCACCACTGCCAAACACCGTCTCCTCATCGACTGCCTGATGCTCTGAACACGTGGTTGGGGATTCTGCGCCATTGCTCTTGCAAGGCAGCGCTAAGTTCCTGCAAATTCTGAGGTTGGTTCCTAAGACCACGAAGCCTTCTCCTAAGTGCATCCCAAACGTGCTCTATTGGATTAAGGTCAGGGGACCTCGATGGCCAGTCCATGACGTTGATTCCAGCGTTTTGAAGGAAATTTCGTGTCAACATCGCGGTATGGGGTGTTCAGAGGTGAGCACTTGATCGCGGTAAGCAGCAGCTGTGAGGTTTCCACGGATGACCAGAAGTCGGGAACGGTTGTTCCCACAGAAAGCACCCCACACCATGCAACTTCCGCCCCCGAATCTGTCGACTTCCTGTACACAACATTGGGCATACCGTTCACGACGTCGTCTCCAGACTCTATGCCTGCCGTCCGCGAATCTGAGGGTAAACCCGGATTCATCGCTAAAGACGACTCGATTCCAGTCTCTCTGGGTCCATCGGAGGTGACGTTGGGCCCACAGCAGACGTTGACGTTGATGAAACGGTGTCAATATTGGCCCACGATATGGAGGTCGAGAATGGAGATTGGCAGCCCGCAACCGATTTCGAATGGTCTGTGAGGACAGTCGACCTCTAAACATCTCAGCCCTGGTTCGATCAGAAGTTCTGGGCGATCAGAAGTGGTGCCAGTTTGTTTTAGACGACCTCGCAAGTCATACACAGTACGACGGCTGCATCCCATTGCTCTTGCGACGTCAATAACTGATCTTGCCGCTTGCAACATGCCAACGGCACGTTCACGTTGCACATTTGACAATCGTGGCATTTCAAGTACCGTTAGAACTGTTGTTTAAAAGTGTTTTTTCAATTCTTGAGGCCAATGCAAACACGTTCATATGAAGAAAACTTCGATGCGAAGATCACGTGATCGACTGCACGTGCAAAACCTGATTTGGCACTAACGTCATTTGCACGACGAATGGACGGGTTTGAGTGGGTTTTGCTAACGTTTTTCTAGAGTGGAAAGATAGGGATCCAATTTCGGATACATAGATGTATCATCAGAGAAAAATTATTCATTATTTTTCAAATTACATGTTGTGAAGTTTCTTTTTTGACTCAGTATATTAGCATTGCTTAACGTTTGTATAGGTGTATATATAATGACCAGCAATAAAAACGCAACTAACTCAGAATTCATGAAAATGTACTTTTTCAGCATGAGTTTGGATTTGATACTTTAACACAAGTATGATGTGGTGATGATAAAGCATTCACCATGCAGGATGGTGTTCAAATCATTAGGGAGAAACAAGCAAGGATGAAATGCATGACACACGTGCAGAGTGTGTACGTAGGGATACAAATGCAGGCAGTGTCGTAATGCTGTCATTTCACCGCAACATGCCACGTGTAAGTGAAATGGAGAGACACCAAATGATGGGCATGCTGAATGCTGGAGTTTGACTAGTTCGTGTAGACCGACATTTTCAGGTGCACCCTTCGACAATAACTCGTCTGCAGCAACGGTTAGTAGTGGCAACTGGCAGCGTTTCTGATCGCCCCCGTTCCGGTACACCCCCGTGTGACGTCACAAAGACAGGACCGGATAATCCAACTTCAGCACCTCCGGAACCGTCTGTAGGCGGCAGTAAGCACTGCTAATGCCGTGATTGGGTCTATAGGGTGCCCTATCAGCGAAAGAACTGTGCGTTGACGACTCCTAGCGGCAGGCTTACATTGCCGTCGCCCTTACCGTGGACCCATCCTCACCAACAGACATCGACTGGAATCGCGCCGTTGGGTGACAAATCGAGGTCACCATGGCTAAGCCAATTCTGTTATACGGCTGCGAAATATGGGGTTTTGAAAACTGTAAATCTATAGAATCCGTACATGTAAACTTTTTACGCAAATTCATTCCCGTTAAGAGAAGCACACCATTATAAAGCTATATGGAGAACTTGGAAGGGTACCTCTGTGCTTAATAAAAACTCTGTTCTGTTCTGTTCTGAACAACGAAGGTGGGATGATGTCATCTTTTCAGACGAATCGAGATTCAGTGTGAGTTTTGATTTCTTGAAGTGCGTTTCTTTTGCTGGTCAGTATTGGTATACAAATGTATATCAGTTGTGGGGGTACAACGTATTCTGAAGTAACCATCCAACCCCGCCCTCCCCGCCTACCTCACCCAAAGCGTTGTCCCACACTGTCATATATAAGTCAGTACATGTGTATATATATAGGAAGGGACGGTGGGGTACACCAGTGGTTAAATAGTCCGCTCGTCACGCCGAAGACCCGGGTTCGATGCCGCACTTGGGTACAATGTGGGAAGCCAATTTCTGGTGTTCCCCGCCGTGATATTACGGAAATATTGCTAAATGCGGCGTAAAAACATCCTCACTCACATACAAGAACATGTCTATCTTTCTTATGCACTATCAGCGTGTGACTGTTCATTTGAAAGCATTGGCCTTGCTATTCTATGGAGCCAACTATTTCCGGGTGATGATACACTGAACACACACATCGATTGCGTGGTGTAAACATGAGCATGTAGTTAATATATGAACCACAACACGCTATTAAGTGAGATCAGTATTTGTTATTGCTGAACGAAAGTGCGAAAGGAGTGCTTCTGAGAGAGACAACTTTACGTGACCCTCGGGTTATCGTCATTCACTCTCACATCACACCGTATTACCTCCACGTCTCTGTTTTCTACAAACAACTACGATGACTACAACGGCGATGACCACGATCAGGACGGAACAGACAGCAGCCACGGGGACGATGGAAACGACACCAGATTCAGTAACGCCACGTGCTGAAACATTTAATATGGACAATATTCAGTTCAGTATGCATACGAGTATAATCATGTAACATCAAGCCTCTTCGGTAAGTTTTAACCCGATTCAAAACATATTAAATGGGTTGACACATGCGATGTTCATCTGAAATAACCTTTCCGTGCTACGCTTTGTAAGTGATTGATGAGGTACGCTGTACATCCCCAACAACAACGTCATTGTCAACATCAGCTCCACAGGAGGACATGCAACGTCGGTAACATCAGTGTTCTCATTTGTGCAGGGTGAAGAAACGGAAATATGTAACGAAAAGGGTCAAATTATATTCCTCATATAAATAGAGTTTCAGGGGCACTGTATTCTGTAGGGCTGGGGTTTTCTAATTGATTTTTTCGAATTAACGGAAACATTTTGGATTTTGGGAGAATCTGAAAGTTAAGACTCAGTGGAGTGATAATGCCATCAGATTATAGTGAAAATTAAATTCTTCATCAATATTACGGTTTGAAATAGTTAATTATTTTTATTCTTTGAGTGCCATCTAAAGGGTCTTCGATTATTTTAAATCTCTTGGTGTTCTAGCAGGTGGTCCAGCAGGTGTTCCGGCAGGATCAGGTTTACGAAAAGGGGGCCGTCCCAAAAGGCGTTATCCCCCAAAATAGGTTGTATATAACAGATTCTGTTACTGAAGTGTTGAATACAGACGACCTCCAGCGTCAGGTTCCGTGATGCACTCCCATGTGTGTTGTTGACGTGACACGTGTACAGTCCAGACACAGATACATCTACAGCTGGTATAGACAACACAGCCTCCCCCTGTCCTGTAATCACCATCTGTCTGGAGATGTTCCACCAGGTTACAGTACAGGCAGGGTTACAGTCAGCAGAACATCTCACGGCTGCAGATTTCCCTTCTTCTACCTCCAGCTTGTCACTTGTGCCGTCAAACTGTACCTGACCAGGTCCATCTGGAATGCATGTGAGATGGTCAGCTGAGAAGCTATTTCTGAGATAAGAACGGATTTTTTTCTTCCATGTAAGTGCAGTTTGCTTGTGTGACATACATGCTGAATGAAGACATGCCGCTTGGCTTGGCCTGTGTTCTTGGGATTCACAAAATGGTAAATGTCTCAGACCAATATCAATTTATGCTTTCCTCACAAAATAAGTACAGACTACAACTGGAACACCGTTGTAAGTCACTCACGCACTCTGTTGACATGTACAACTCTTATGATTACACAATAAAATTTAGAAAGTGGCCATGTAACATGTTATATTTGGGATTACACTTTCTTAGTAAAGTACAAATTCTAGTACTTTTGGGTTGAGTCCAATCCGGGATTCGAACCCACATCCTCAGAGTCGGGTACCTAATAGCTTGCACACAAAGTCAGACGCCTAACCCCAGATATAACATGTACAACTCTTGACAACATATCCAGGTGAGCTTACAGTGCAGGGAAACTATCAGCATTTTCTATAGCCTCTGAAACTCATGGATCATTAAATCAGACCTGCCTTATTTCCTATCCAAACTTCCACAATCATTATTTCTGTTTTGTTTACACAGAACACAGTAGTTCACAGTAGTTCACAGTAGAACGTTGTGACAAAACTATCACTCAGAAGCACAGTTACAAAGATAAGATACACGAGGTTCCTATACCGTAAACAAGGTAAGTTCTTACTCACAGAGAACATCCAGTACATGTCCGTGACTCCAGTCAGATTCCAGCCCCTCCTCCACGGCCTGGCAGCTGTAGATGTCTCCATGGTTCTCTCTGCTGACGTGGGTTATTGTCAGGTCATCTCCACCTGTAGGAGACACATCACCAGATTCTACCCGGGTCCTGTCCCTCCTCCAGATATAGGTCATGGTCAGTTGGGGATGGTCCGGGGGTAGACTCAGGGACGAGGAGTAGCATGTCAGGGTGACATTCTCACCTGATACAGGTGAGGCAGGTCCGGTGATAGTAGGCGTGGTAGGCTTCTCTGTGAACAAATATAACAAATGTGCTCCTACCTTTAAACAAGATGTTACTAAATGCTGACATACTTGTATTTATATACTATTCATCATTATTATCTATCAAATGTTAAATAGTTAGTGTATTCACTCGTGAACGGTGAGTGAAGCCCATTTCTGATGTCACCTGTCATGATATTGCTGGAAAATTGCTAAAATAATCACTCATTCACTCACTCACTCACTCACTCAGTGTTCCACAGTCAGTGTTCCACAGTTAAAGCAGGGAATCCATGTTGGCTGGATCCTAATACTCCTAACCGTTTTGTTGATTAAATATGATAGTTACCACACAACTACTGGCTGCCTCTACTGAAACGAGTTAAATGTATTTTCTGGAGAGAGGAGGGTCGACGGTGTCACTACCAGGTGCGTTATTACAAATTGGGTTAAAAGATGCAAGACTGATCGACTCGGATACACTCATCCATGTTAAACTGCGACACTGCTTCTTTGACGGTGAACAAGCATAGTTCATCTACGCACATGCATACAACACACACACATGCATACAACACACACTTGCATACAACACACACATGCATACAACACACACATACACACACACACACACATACACACAAAAACGCACGCATGCTCGGACACTCACACGTACCTGGATCCATATATACAATAATCTAAGCCCCAATTTCACCTCACCTAAAGTTATCAATAGCAATCCAAGATTGAATAGCTATTTATTTATGTTGGGGATACATTATGACAGTCCAACTTTATTCTTCAAATAATATTCTGTTCATCCCATATTCTACTCACGTGCTACAACGAGGACCTGTCTACATCCAGTAACTGTCTCAGCTGTCCTGTCTGTGATAGTGAGTCGTCCCCGGTGTATCTGATCCTGGTCGTGTAGCCGGTGTGACTGCTGTTGAGTACCCATACACGGTGTGACTTAGTCTGGACCACTAACAGTCTCACAGCTACCCAACCATTTACCCATACGGTATACAGGAAGCTGACATTCGCTGGGTTCATGGTTATGTTAACATCGTCGCCAACACGTGTAACAGTGTGTGGGTATCCAGTTGTCATGGAGGCAAGACCTGCACTCAAAACAAGTGTTCGTCGTTAAAACAAGGTTAACAGTTGACAGAATTATTCAAGCACATTATTGAAGTCAGTTCAATATAATACTAGTTGACAAATACATACCACACATATATAAGCCCCCAAACAAAGAGACAAGATCATGCAACGAGGAAAGAACTTTCATGAACAGGCGTTATAGTATTTTCTGAGGGCAGAGTTGTCAAACTGACACAATTTTGCATTTTCAATGTGAACTTTTCGGAAAATGTAAGTTACATTCTTTTTAGAGGAGTCCATAAAGGGATATCGATGGACCCGAACGATTGTAATCTTAATATATTTTCTCTTTATATTTTTTGTCAAATTGTTGTAATGTATCTATGTAATTGTTTATTATGACTGTTTACACTGTATAATATGTATATATACCTTACACAGTGCTTCATATACATGTATGCACTATACTTACATATCATACATACATTACTGACACTACGCTGAACATACTAACAGATCATCATATTAACATGTGGTCTACACTACGCTGAACATACTAACATATCATATACTAACATGTGGTCTACACTACGATGAACATACTAACATATCATATACTAACATGTTCTCTCACCTGAGGTAAGTGTGTTTGTTCAAAATTGCCGAAACTGTGTACAGCAGAAACTGGTTACCCGGTGAGATAAGTCATGTGACTATTAACCTTCTAGCGCCGTACAGGCAGCTTGGATTATCCAGGGTAATAATAATCAGATTGTGATTCAGCGTCCAGCGAGCAACTAGACAGATTGATACTAGGCGCTATATAACTGTATAATTATCTTTTAAAAAAGACATATCAAAAACTGGCGTGATAAGTTCATACTGACCTGCACGCAAAAAAAATACCAGTCATCATTACGTATGCTTACTGACAGAATATCCAGTACTACTTAAGAAAAAGTCACAAGGATGGCTATATAAAATGTCAATTCGAAGACAGATACATACCACACACATGAAATAATCCGGTCACAGTGTAAAACAGAAACATAGTCAGCAGCTGGTTAACACTGACAGATCTGAGCTGTTGATGTTCGTGTAGTTTCACTTGACACTATTTCCCTGTCACATGAACCATGTCCTTGCTTGTTGAAACATTAGTGAATACGCCGTGTCGTTGCTATTGGGCAGTTGAATATTGAATACTATGTTGTCATGAGTTTACTTGGCACTGCTGGGTCTGTCTACTCTGTGAACCATGTCCTTGCTTGTTGAAACACTAGTGTCGTTATCATTGGGCAGTCGAACATTGAATACTATGTTGTCATGCGTCCTGGGTCTGTCTACTCTGTGAATCATGTCCTTGCTGTTTGAAACACTAGTGTCGTTATCATTGGGCAGTCGAACATTGAACACTATGTTGTCATGCGTGCTGTATCTGTCTGCTCTGTGGTAGCCAAGTGGTTAAAGGGTCCGCTCGTCACGCCGAAGACCCGGGTTCGATTCCCGCCATGGGTACAATGTGTGAAGACCATTTCTGGTGTTCCCCGCCATGATATTGCTGACATATGGCGAAAAGCGACGTAAAAAGATATTCACTCACTCAAACACTTTCATATGTACCCGTATTTACTCTTTAGCACTGCACATCAAGATGTAACCGTTACTATTGAGATCACACAAAGTTTTCTTTCTTTAACGTCGCCCTTTGCAATATTCCAGCCATTCCAGTCTGTAAATGATCAGACAATCATGTGATCAACATCATCAGCATCGATCTTCGCAATTTGGATACGATGACATGTGCCAACTGGTCCCGTTAGTCGCCTCTTACAACAAGCATGGGTTGCTGAAGATCAATTCTATCCCGGGCCTCAAAAGAAACTAAACGAGTGTTTGTCAGACTCCATTTATCTTACAACGAGTTCAGTAATCTGTTTCTTACACACCCTAAAATCTTGGCACTTTGGGATCAAATCGATGCATATTTCGTCCTTTCTCATTGTATCGGCGCATTGATACATAACACAACGTTATGAATGAGTGACGTCCTTGGACTTACTACTCACTACACATACTATGTATAACCCTCCACACAAAAAACGTTTCATTCATATTTGTGCATTTTCGAGGCAATAATCATGATGCAATCAAGATAAGATCAAAGAACTTCTCAAAAACCATGACGTTGCAACTGTAAATCATTCTTTTGCAAGTGAAATTATTTCACAGTGTGACGTCATTATTATCGTTCTGAACGTGTGCTAGATGACGTTTATTTCATTTGAATTCAGTCGTCATGGAAGGATAGTGTTCGCACATGGGGGATCTGCTAAGCAGCCAGGTATGAACCCCATGGAACAAGTTTTAGGATGGCATGGGCAGATGTTTTTCGTGCGAGGGGTGGCTACACTAGGTACTGACGTGGTCTTCAGTGTCGGTTCACACAATCACAACAAACAATAACTGAGAATTTGGTGACAATTATTAGTGGCCTTTTTCATGGTGACCACATTTTCAGGCATTGTTTCCATTCAAGTTTCTAGCTATTTTCTCTCTCAGATTAGTAGACTGATTACCACATTTCCACCATATTTAAGCCTGTCATTAGATCAAATAATTGTCTAGTTTTAGAATTCAAGGAATTATTTAGTTCCTTCAACAAATCTAAAGTATGTAAATTAACTGACATCCTTAAGTTTTATCTCTTAGACTATTCTCATTATCTACTCTCGTCTTATTACAGACATCTTTCCATTATGATTTCAATGTTTATATTCACTTACATGAGTACTACAAGGAATATATCAAGAGAATGACGTGTGACAATACCCAAAGGTGGCCATATCAAAATGGATATTAATCTGGTTATTAATACTTTCAACAGCTGAG